AATCCTACCTATGAATTAGAATTATTTTTAACTAAATAAATTATTTAAAAATCAAATATTAATAACAAAATCTTACTTCCTTGTCCTTCCATGCAATGTTTCAAAACATAGAAATAGGTAGCTCTTAAATTGTGTTTTCAGGTTCCATATTTTTCTTAGCAACATCATTCCCCTTACTTCAAATACGAGAAATTAATGGCCGAAATATAATTCGTTTCCTTTAAATTCCCGTGGCACTCGAAAAAATGAATTCGGCTATATTGTGATTTTGAAGGAATGGATTTATTTTCGTATTCGAGATCCCCTAAATTTAATATTCCTATTATTCGAGCATATGTATATTAGGATTGTGCTGGTATCTGAATTTCATAAATAATAAAGGTAGATTCGTACCTAATACGAATGGTATAGAGGGTGATTAAGTATTCAACGCATGGAGTTTCGCGGAAGACATGGTAATAAGATTGTCGGATTTTATTATTGAAATTATAATCCTGTAATAAATCATAGATATTTTAATTTAGTTTAGTCTTCTACAACTACTAAATTTATATTTTACGTTGTTTTCAATTTTGTAATATATTACAATATTTTTTGCAAAACTAATCATCATTAAAAAGAGAAACTTATTCCAAATTTTTAGTTTGGCTTTAGCTAAAACAATTAAACCATAGATCCAGTCTATAGAATTTAAGATGTGATTAAAAAAGAGTGAAAACAAATAAATCTTTTCAAACATCTTTTCTATATGTTACGCAGGCTTAAGATGAAGTATGGCGTCATAGCTTAAAACAAAAACTGAATGTGCTACTTCCATAGCCATACTCGGAGCTATTGAATTCATATTCATACAAGATGAAGCGTACTCCAAATCGATAGAAATTTAAGCACAAGTACCCAGGCCTGCGCCTATCACTTTTGGTGCCCTTGTGCAAAATTAAAATAACGCCCCAAATTTGTATTACGTTCATATATTCCAGCGTATTTAGATCAAAATCACCCGAATAGCGGAACTTTTCTCATGCACCAGATATCTAGATGCGGTTTTCTGCATTGTGTTCAGGAAGGTCCAGGGAAAAAAGTTTACATGGTCTGGTTTGGCGCGTTTTTGGAAAAATGTCTTCTGGGCCGGAAAATGCATTTTCCAATTGCATCGTAACTTGCACCATTATAGGAACGACTGAAAACTCGGAAAAAACGCTCGGAAATCATTATTCGGGGGTTTTCGGGGCTGCCGTACTCAATTCTAGCATTATAATTACCCGGGGGTGGCTCTGTGGGGGTGCGCGGGGGGTGAATTGGGGGAGAAATGGCAGCGTGCATGAAAGTCGCTCCAAACTGGTTACTCGGGGGTTTTCGGAGATGCCTAATTCAATTCTGGTATTGGAATTACCCGGAGGTGCACGGGGGTGGCTCTGTGGGGGTGCGCGGGGGTGAATTGGGAGAGAAATGGCAGCGTGCATGAAAGTCGCTCCAAACTCGCTACTCGGGGGTTTTCGGGGACGCCTAATTCAATTTTGACATTGGAATTACCCGGGGGTGTTCGAAGTGGCTCTACCGGGGTGCCCGGGGGCTGATTCGGGGACGAAATTGCAGAGTCCATGGAAATGACACGAAAATCCTTACTAGGGGGTTTTCGGGGATGCCAAACTCATTTCCAGCATTAGATTTTCCCGGGGGCGCTCGGGGGTCCCTCTGTGTATTTGGCTGGGGGTCATTTTGGGGGTGGGGGAGAATTGCCTCGTCCATAAAAATAGCCACAGACTCGTTTTCGGGGAGGCCAAATTAATTTATAACCTTAGATTCCCTCGAGGGCACTCGGGGGTCCACATGTGGGGATGTCTTGGAGGGGGGGCGGGTGGCAACGTCCATGAAAATATCTCCAAAATCGTTACTCGGGGGTTTTCGGGGATGCCTAATTCATTTTCACCATAGATTTCCCCGGGGGCGCTCGGGGGTCCTGCTGTGGAAAATGGTAAAGGAGAAAGTGAAAAATCACAAATTATGAAAATAATACTTTATTCAAATAACAAATAGGAGTTTTTATTATTGTTGAATTATTCATTATCAACTTCAATTTTTAACTTAAATACTAAACATCTTATAAGAGTGCCAGACACAGCTTAAACACCAAAAAAATGGTTCAAAATCCCAAAGACTTGATCACTCTATTTAGAGCAGGGCATAGTGGCGCATTGGTTTGCAAAATTGTTTTAATTCGTAATTTGTTCTTCTAAATGTTCAGAAGGCTTGCCTAATTATGAGAGTGTAAGATGGCACTCGATATTTGTTGATGTTATTGTTTAACAACGAAAAATTATTTAAGGCAAAAAAAATCATTTTTTGCAATGAATTAATTTTTTTTATATTCTTTAGGATATTTCGAATAAAAAAAGTCCTTACGCCCATTATCGTATCTTCAACCCTTTAATTGTTATGAATTTTTTGATATCCAAAATTGACGAAAATTCTAATTTTCTTGAATTAAATAATATACCTTAAAATTTAAAATGCTATAATTTTAAATTTTTTACCAAATATTCAAACTATAATAAACAAAATAACCTAAATAAATTTTCAAAATTTTGTTTGTTGTTATGTTTTTTTACGTTATAAAAATATGCTTCCTACGCGCGTGTACTTTTAGAGAGAAGTACTTCTATCTCACTTCCAACTCAATGTATAAGATGGGTAAGAGAAAGCCCGATGACGCGCTGAATCAATTTTTTGCTGTTTTTTAGAGGTAATAAGTTTATAAAAATTATTAATTACATTTTTCATAACACTTTGTTATATTTGCCGATCAATAGTTTTGTATCATGTGATTTTTTTTTACTTTTTTAGATACTTTTGATAATTTTTTTATTTAATAAAGTTAACAGAAACATTTATTTTTAACATTTATTTTTATTCATGAAAGAATTATTGTCAGATACTGCCTGAGAAGTAAAATCTTCTTCAACCTTTTTTTTTTAATACGATAAAAAGGCCAAATGCACTTGTCGTGATCTGCGAAAAATTTCTACTTAAAGTAATGAACATAGTAGGCTTACTGGGGTTATAAAATTTTATAATTTCAAAAATATCCAAGCCTTTCTCCATTTAACAAAAATAAGGAAAAAAATTTTTTTTTCTAATATTGAGAGTAAGTACTATAATTATGAAATTTTTTTATGACATTCAATCTTTTGCACTATAAATACAAATAGGTAAACGGACTTATTTCGTATTTTGAAAAAATTGTACGTTTAACTCTTCTTCTATTTTTTTCCTGTCATAAACAAGTTTTACAACCTTCCAAATAGAAAATTCGACCCTACCTTAGAATTTTTGGCTCGTTTTAAAAATTATTTTTCAGTTGTTAATCAGTCTTGCTCGATTCTACATCTACTGGTTTACTTTGCAGTCGTGTAATTTTCTGAATAATAATGCCGTTCTCTTTAATTAAAAAAAAAAATTATATTATCTGACGACAAAAAGTGTTTATTTTGTGATCATGGCGAGGCGTTAGTGAAGTGTCCAAAACCTGTTACATATTTAAAATTAAAAAATACAACTCTTCGTCGAAACGATAACGTGACTGTGCGATTTAATTTGTTGTTTAATGAAAATACCTGTGAACAATCTTTTTCGTGGCATCGTGGCGCGTAGGAAGCATATTGTTATAACGTAAAAAAAAACAACAAACAAAATTTTGAAAATTTATTTAGGTAATTTTGTTTATTATAGTTTGAATATTCGGTAAAAAATTTAAAATTATAGCATTTTAAATTTTAAGGTATATTAATTAATTCAAGAAAATTAGAATTTTCGTCAATTTTGGATTTTAAAAAAATCATAACAATGAAAGGGTTTAAGATACGATGATGGGCGTAGGGACTTTTTTTAGTCGAAGTATCCTAAAGAATATAAAAAAAATTAATTTATTGCAAAAAATGCATTTTTTCTGGCTTAATTAATTTTTCGTTGTTTAAATAAACAATAACATCAACAAATATCGAGTGTCATCTTACACTTTTATAATTAGACAAGCCTTTTGGATATTTAAATAAGATAAATTACGAATTAAAACAATTTTGCAAACGAATGCGCAAGTATGCTCTGGTCTAATTGGCGTATAACAAAAAACCCACGTGGTCCAAGAGTGCCCGACACCACTCAAACACCAAAAAAGGGCCAAAATCCAAAAAACTTGATTGTTTTAGCACTATATTTACGTAACAAAAAACCAACGTGGTATAAGAGTGCCGGACAGAACTCAAACACCAAAAAAGGTCCAAAATCCAAGAAACTTTATAACTGTAGCACTCTATTTACATACAATGAAAAAGCAACGTGGTCCTGAAAGACAGATGTAATACTGATGCAACACAGACGCCGACTGCGCGCGGGAATCATGGTATTATACCATGACGAGAATAGAGAAAGACATCTGGTGGGGCGTCGTTGGAATTTCTAGACTATTCCATGAGGGGCCAGATGTTCTTGAGGAAAAGTGAAAGTTAAAAAATGTCTATTTCAAGAATGTTCGAGAATGTTCAATATTGTTTGGGGAAAGCCACATATATATATTTGTTTAAAATTCAATCTAAATTTTTATTATTCATAAAAAAATATTTAAAACATTAAAAATACTTGTTAATATATCACAGGATGAAACTGGTCGACAAATAAAAACAAAACAATATATAATTTTAATAATGTAACATGTCACCTTTTAAAGGTTAATATAATATACAGGTATTAGGTATTGTTATTAATATTTTAGCCAAGTGAATTGAGCTTTTCGTGTTTTAATTTTTACAAACTGTTTAATTGCATCTTCGGCATCTAATTCTTTTAGTTGATCCGATTCTATTGAAATGAAAGCAAGGTTTTACCCTTAGATAAAAGAGACCGGAGATGTAACATTGCACATCGCGCACGTTGTCTATTCCAACCCTAAGTAACCCACCAATTAAAAATAATTGTGTTCACGACGCCACCCGAATTGCTCCGAAATGTCTATTCTATGCTTGTCTCCGCGTGAGTAAATCATTTATGGACGCCGTTTTTTGAATTATTTGTTGGTGTTATTAGCAATTTAAAGTGTTTTAGTTATTGAATTTCAAGTTGAAAATGCCACGATGTACGGTGAAAAATTGTATATACAAATAATATGTGTCAATGTTATGAAAAACTGTGGCTTGGTAAAAGACGTGCCTAAGTCACTTTTTGGCAGTTTTGAGATATTTTGCCTATTGTATTGTTCTTAGTTCCTTTTTTCACTACATAAAGTACCTAAGTCAGTTTGACCTTCTGTTCACCTTGTAATAAAATACAATATCCCTAAGTCATATTCTGTTAATTTCAAAACTTAATATTAGAACTACATAAGTATACATACGTTAATTGATATTTTCTGTTTTGGGTGCAAGAAATGCTTAGTTGACATGAGCATTTCCTTTCATTGAAAGAACTGCATACAGATCAGTGGTCAGAACATAGACATTTTTTTGTTGTTTATGTAGTTGTGAGATTTTAATCGACATTCGTTTATTAACCGTTGAGTAAGAGAGTTGTGTTGATATTATTATTTTTGCATCGTTTTAATAATAAGATTCTTATTATTCTAGTGAAGCTTGGTGACAGTATTTTTAAAAAACGTTATAAAGAATGTATTCACGTAGTAAACATTTAGTGAATTTGTGTTTAAAAAATGCAATATGGTTTTATTCAATTTGATTGTCCAAAGTTTTATGACATAGTGGGTTCTTGCATAGAATTTAGAGATGTATTCTCATGACTTAAATATTTTTTTAAATTTAAATGTATTTATGTTTATTAAGTACCTATTCTAAAAAACTAAATAGGCTAAAATACTTCCAAAAAATGTTTCCTTTATTTCAAAATAATACTAGAGTTTATTTTTAATTTCAGATAATCAACCATCAGCATCTGCTGAAGGTATTCTACAATCAAGGGAAGAATGTTCTATAGGCGTAGTATATTCTGTACATCTTCCAACTTCGTCTGTACAACATATTCAAGACATACCTATAGTTACGTCAGAAGAAATTGTGTTAGAAGGTAAACTTTTTTATTGAATAATGACTACGATTTCTGGAAAATAATACTAGGCATTATAAGTTTATTTTTAATTTCAGATAATCAACCATCAGCATCTGCTGAAGGTATTCTACAATCAAAGAAAGAATCTTCTATAGGTGTTATATATTCTGTACATCTTCCAACTTCGTCTGTACAATATATTCAAGACATACCTATTATTACGTCAGAAAAAATTGTGTTAGAAGGTAAACTTTATTATTCAATAATGACTACGATTACTGGAAAATAATGCTAGCATTATATTTTAAGTTTATTTTCAATTTCAGATATATCTGAAAATTATGTGCAACCATGAAAATCTGGTGAAGTTATTCCACAATCAGTGTCTACTTCAATTTCATCAACCGATAACGACAATATTCATGATGAGATTGGCTCTTCCGATGATGCAGATGCTGACTATCTTCCATCAGATGATAAGGAGTCTTTTGAGAATGAAGAAATGGAAAATGACGATGGTGAGGACGACATGTTGGCTGATCCTCCTGTTCTGAATGATGCTTCTAGTAAGAAAAAAGGCAGAGGAAGGTGTAAAGTAGAAGAGACAGATAAAACAAGAAAACGAAAGAGAAATCCAGAAAGTTGGTCAAGAAACAAGAGAAGAGAAGCCAGGGTTCATGGAAAACCATACATATCAACGAAAGAACAGTTTGTTAGTGGACGATGCCTGAAGCCTGCTTGTACGTGTAGACTAAAATGTAATGAAAAAAATTTTTCAGGAGTTGTACTTGTTAGATGCTAACTCGCAAAATCAATTCATTTCACAAAGCTTTCATGAAGTAAAGAAACAAGTGGAAAGACGTCGGCATTTTCCCTTTTTTACTTTCCTATCTGTATACAGATATAAGGAAAGTATAGGAATCATGATTTTTTTCGACCTCGAGTTTTCGACGGATTTTTACGTTTTGAGGTCCCCTGAATCCGTTTTGACTATTTTCGCGATGATGTCTGTGTGTGTGTGTGTGTGTGTGTGTGTGTGTGTGTGTGTGTGTGTGTGTGTGTGTGTGTGTGTGTGTGTGTGTGTGTGTGTGTGTGTGTGTGTGTGTGTGTGTGTGTGTGTGTGTGTGTGTGTGTGTGTGTGTGTGTGTGTGTGTGTGTGTGTGTGTGTGTGTGTGTGTGTGTGTGTGTGTGTGTGTGTGTGTGTGTGTGTGTGTGTGTGTGTGTGTGTGTCTGTGTGTGTGTGTGTGTCTGTATAACGCATAACTCATGAACCGATACACAAAAAAACACCAAATTTTAAACTTAAGCTTTGTTTCAGCGTCCAATGAGCTGATTAGATTTTGGGCAGAGTCGGAACATCTGGGGGGGTACTTTATAGGTGGTCATTTTTATATTTTATGGAATATATCTGTTATTTACGTTTGGAGAAGAAAATTCTTCAAATAAAAGTTACTTCTAATATAATTATCTTCAATTTTTGTTTTATGCAAAATTTTCCTAAAATGGTCCGTATTCGAGAAATTTGACAAAATGTAAAAAAAATTATTTTTTATAAAAATTGTTCAAATAAAAGTTGTTTGAAATATAATTCTCTATAATTTTTATTCTATACATAATTTCTCTAAAATAGACCGTATTCGAGATATTTGAGAAAATGTGTAAATTTCGAAATTTGAAGAAAACTCAAAAACGGATAAAGGAAAAAACATTAAATTTTAAACTTAAGGTTTATTTCGGCCTGACGTGAAATGATTTGATTTTGGACACAGTCGGAACATCTGGGGGGGTACTTTATGGGAGGCCGTTTTTATATTTTATGGAATATATCTGTTATTTATGTTTGGAGAAGAAAATTGTTCAAATAAAAGTTACTTCTAATATTATTCTCTACAATTTTTGTTTTATGTAAAAATTTCCTGAAATGGTCCGTATTCGAGAAATTTGACAAAATGTGCAAAATTCTGATTTTTATGAAAGTTTTTGAAATAAAAGTTGTTTGCGATATCGTTCTCTATAATTTTTGTTTATACATGATTTTGCTAAAATGGACCGTAATGGAAAAGTCTAAATTTAAATTTTTCAGTATTTTCGTTTTCAATGAATATCTATAGAAAAATGTTTCGAGGTAGATGTATGTGGCCAATGTATATATTTAGTTTATCCTCTAAACATTTATAGAGATGCTGCAATAGGTTGTACAAAATAACCGAAGAAAGCCTATAATAACTAGATAGGAAAGTCATGTGTTGGACACATCAGATTTTTATTTCTTGTATGATGAGACAAACACTAAAACAAAAGTTTGTCGTACTATGTTTCTAAATACACTAGATATTAAAGCAGGAAAAATAAAAGTTTTAGCAGCTAAGAAAAAAGCATCTTTAAGTGGAATTTGTCCTAATGATGGTCGAGGAAAACATAGTATGCAGAGAAAAATCGGTGAAGATGCATTTAATACAATAAAAGATGATATAAATAGTTTCCCTTCATATGTCAGTCATTACTCAAGATTACACACCGACAAAAAATACTTGTCAGAACATTTGGACATTTTAAAAATGTATCGGTTGTACAAAGAACATTGTATTTCGCAAAATGTACTACCACAACTTGAATCAATGTACAGAAAAATATTTGTTGAACATTACAACTTGTCCTTTCACGTTCCTTCCAATGATACGTGTGTTAAATGTGATAAGTACAAGATGTTACTTGAAACAACAACGGATTTGCAAGAAAAGGGAGACCATAAAAAAAATTATAAAGAACATTTAACTATGGCTGATCAGGCATACAAAGAAAAAAGAGAAGATAAAAAACGTAGTCTTCAGAATGAAAATGTAACATTTGTTTCGTTTGATTTAGAAAAATGTTTGGCTACGCCAATGCTGCAAAATAATGTGTCATTTTACAAAAGATCATTATGGACGTATAACCTGACTATCTTCAGTTGTACAAAAAAGCAAAAACACGCTTTTTGTTACATTTGGGATGAATCTATAGGTGGTAGAGGTGGTGAAGAAATAGCATCATGTCTCAGACATTATATCCTTTCTTTACCACCAGATATTTCTGAAATCAATATGTTCAGTGACTTTTGTAGTGGGCAAACAAGAAACATTTATGTTACCACCATGCTATCAGTTTTGGTACACGATTTTAATAGAAACGGAAGGACGCTTGTCATCAACCACAAATTTCTAGAACCAGGACATACGCACCAAGAGGCGGACACTATACATGGGGCCATTGAAAAAGTTAAAAAACATACTACTGCCAAAATTGAGATACCCAGAGATTGGGCAAACCTCATTAGAATGGTTTCAAGAAAGCCCCCAATACAGGTTATAGAAATGCAACAGACATATTTTTTTAATTTTAAAAGAGTTTTGAACCGTCAGTACGTTCATCGTAAGATTAATACTGAACAAGAACCTGTTAATTGGTTACAAATAAAATGGTTACAGTATCGTATCGATTTACTGTCAAAAGTTTATTACAAAACATCTTATACCCCTACAGAGCTGTTTAAGGTGCTAGATTTGTCTCGGAATACCCGTAAGTCATATGGTACGCATTCAGCTGAATCGTCTATCTCAAAAAATCAGGATCAAGAAAAAACTGACCCCAAAAAATGATAATCTAATACCACTACCAGAGAAAAAAATTAAAGACCGTAAGGACCTAATGCCTTTCATCTCTCAAACAAGCCGAACTTTTTACGAAACTCTTTTTTCAGGATCTACTGTATCGGTTGAAGACGAGTATCTACCCGATGAACGTCTTTATGAAAACTATGATGAAGATTAAGATGTTTTTAGAATGCTACTTTGTAAAACAAAAATTTTGTTATAGTTATACCTACTTATGAGTTTTATTGCTTAAAATAAAATTATTATTTCAGGATATCTTACGTATTTTATTGTCTTGGTCCACAATTTGTTAACATATTTTAATATCAAGAAGTAAGTATGTCAATAAAATATTAGGTCAATGACTTATAATATTTAAATTTTTAAGTACCAAGCTCCTAAGTCAACAATAATCTCCTGAAAAGAATATAATTTTCCTCAAAGCAAAGTAAAACAAAACAGGTACACAACAATAAAAATTTCGAACAACACAAAACTGCTCATACTGAAAAGTTATCATTTTTGACTTAGACACGTCTTGTACCAAGCCACAGAAAGAAATCTATTCGTTTTCAGCGGTAAATATTTGTTGACGTTTTGACATAAAGTCGCCATGATTCTTTGAGCTGAATACTTCAGATCCGCATTAAGGGGTTTCAATAAATATTAAGCATCAAATACATAATATTTCAGAAAATAGATTTCATAATGCATTAATTTAAAAAAGAGAAAAAAATTTAAATGTTAAACATTTAATCTAAATAAGAAGTAAATAGGCATTGTTACTAACGAAATTTTGTTTTTAAAAAGTAGTTTCATAAGAATATTTACTAAAGGTGGTTTTTAGCCCTTATCAGGTATTTTTACAAGAATATTAGATGAAATACAGGTTCACCTACTTAAAATTTCAAGGTTCATTTTATTTGCGGTTAAATCGGAAGTGACATTTGAATCTTAAGTATTAAAACAAAGTAAAACGCCCAATATGATCTAGTATAAGCAAAAAATGCTAAAGTTACGGAAATTGGTCATATTATTAGTAAAATTTTACATTATAAACCCCTAAACAACTCGAAAAAATCTTCGTTTACTAAAAAAATCTAAATTCTAGCAATATTTATTATACAATCGAATGCGGTTTCAGAGATAACAGGATCAGTAAATCCGAATCTCTAAATTTTGGAGCTTGATGCTCGGATAAAAGCATGCGACCGATAGGGGTTACAAAAATAATCGATTTATCGTTTTCATGAAAATTGATTTATACGTTATAATTAATCGATTATATTTGATTAATCGAACATTTTCAATAAATTTTTTTAGGTAATAGTATAATCGATTATAAAGGAATTACAAAAAGAAAGTAGAATTATTCAAAATATTCGATTTATTATAATCGATTTTTTTAGAAAAATCGATTTATTGTTTAATCTACTTTTTAAATTAATCGATTGTTTTCGATTTACCGAATATTTTCGATTAATTGAATATTTTCGATTATTTTCGATTAATCGATTATTTTCGATTAATCGATTATTTTCGATTAATCGATTATTTTCGATTAATCGATTATTTTAGATTAATCGATTATTTTTGATTAATCGATTATTTTCGATTAATCGATTATTTTCAATTTTTCAAAGGTATTCGAATAATTTGTTTTAAAAGAAATGCGAAAAAATAGATTATATGAAAATAATCGATTGATCGAATATAATCGGTTATTTTGTATAATAGATATTTCGGTTATTTTTTAGAATTATCGATTTATCGTTCAATCAGCTTTTTAATAATCAATTATTTTCGATTTTTCAAAGATAATCAAATAATCAATTTTAAATGAAATATGAAAACAAAAGGATTATTTGAAAATAATCGATAATTCAGTTATTTTTTTGAAAAATCGATTTATCGTAGAATCGGCTCCTTAATTAATTGGTTATTTTCCCTTAATCGATTATTTTTTATTAAGCGATTATTTTGGATGTTTCAAAATTATCGAATAATTGATTTTAAATGAAATAATTCTTTATTTATTTATCTTTATTTATAGGATATTATAGGATTTGTCTGTCTGTCCGATGTCAGGTTTTTTGTCTACACGATAAGTCAAAAACGAGAAATGAAATCAACTTGAAAATTTTAAGCAAAAATCAAGCTCTATAAGAGG